GGAGAAATCTGAGAGCAGACATTTTACGCCCACACAGAGGTGGCATGAGCACGAGGACAAGATCTATAGCAGGAGCGCAGCAAATCTGAGTGCCAGCGCTGCAATAGACAGCAAATCTATGCACAAGCAAAAGTTATTTGAGTGCAAGCGTAGGGTTTTGTGACAAGCATTACAAAAAAGTAAAACCAATGAGCTGTGATCTCAAACTGAAAAGTTTTGTAAAGTATCTGTTGCAACTTGCAAAACTGACTTATGCAAGTCTTTGTGGCAGCAGAGTTAAAGGCAAAGATATACACTACAGCCCTTTGAGCTAAAAGACAACAAATCTGATACCTGACACTTAAAATGCCCCAGCTACTGTAATAAAATTATAAACTGGATGTAACCACACTCCTGTTAATTCCGACCAACTGGCAAAGCTCCACAAAACTTGTTCCCTGTGCAGTCTGCAGAAGAAATTTGTTTAATTATCCATAGCAGCTGCTGCCCCTGTTCAGGTCCACTGGGTACAATTAGGACGTGTGACTTCACAGACACCAGCCAGCACTCAATTACATACAAAGGCAATATATTCACAGACCTTCAATGCAGGCGCAAAGAGAAAACCAGAGGAGAGAATATTTTTTTAAAGCTTCTCATCTCACTGCCCACCTCACCTCCTACTCAGCTGCTGATTTGAAAACTTTTATCACATTCCTATGATAAGAAGTATATATACTTTTATAAATGTCTAGCTACACAAACTCAGTGGATCCAAAGTTGTTCTGTTGACACTGACAAATGACCGAAAAAGTAATGTCTGATCAATTTTGTGAAAACAAATTTGTCATATACATCCTCCCAAAATCTGAATTATTGAAGTGACTTCCTCAGGTAATGAAATCCTATTCTTATGATTCTTCATATGTTCTTTTATCATCAAGTTTCTCCAAAGTCTTCTGCTCTACTTAAACATCCCCACATCTTAAAGGTCCACATCGAAGGAATTGGCTGGATCTTAAATGAACGCTGCCATCTTGCACGGAACATCTTGCCCAGAAGCATTGAGATGATGGAGCTGCAGTATTTAGGTCCTGTCGATACGTTCGGGTAATCATGAAATTTCCGCTTGTTTCCAAAGCATCAATCAATATATCTATGTATATCTATGTATATATACATCAGCTATATCAACAATTAGTTTACCATCATTGAGTATAATGTATTTAACATGTTCTTTGCCTTTTTAGTTTGGTCCATGTCCATTCCACTCACATGGAGGAAGCAGGGTTTACAATCTATGCAGCAGCCAGCCAAAAGAGGGTGAAAAAAAAAAGACACTTTGGCTTAACTTTTGATGTGTGGAACAGTGGCTTTAATAAGAGTAAGATCGTATGCACCTTTTCCATAATTGAGAGTTTTAAAATCTCCAAAATGTCAAAGCTTACTTCATTTATTCATCCATTTCTTTTTGACTTGACTAGTTTCTAAAGAATCATAATGAATCCAAGTCCAAACATTTGATGTCATGTTCCAACAATGACTTTATCATTGTCATTACCGAGACATAATGTCTCTGGATATTGTCTCCTGTACTCTCTGTTTCCTTTTATCATGTATTATAATCTGAATAATCAGAAAAATCCACCACTGTCAACAAGATCTTTTTTGCCTTGAGGCCATGCACAAGTGGATTTAGGAAAAAACATATCTGTGCATCCAGTCTACTGTTTTATACTGCCATCTGGTGGACATATACTGTCAAACACCTGCCTGTTCTATTGATGGAGCCTGTAGTACGACCCCACAGGGATACCTCAGACTGGGCTGCACATCTTTGTGAACACACTCACTAAAAAATATCCAGTCAGTTCAATTAAACTACTTCAAATCTATGAAAATTGACCCCCCACCTTGGCCAGATGAACCCTCTCAGGGGCCATCCTTATCAAGACAGGACTGTCACAATGAAACTACCTCAACCAAAAGCTCTGGAGTTGTGTGGGGTCTGTGGCCCCTGGAGAAATAATCCTTTCTATCTCGTTTCTCCTCTTTTCCATTTGAGGCTTCTTCAGTTGGTTGCAGAGGAGTCTCCCCGACGTGCTTCTGGCCCAGCAGTAGTAGTCTATAACCACTGTTACAGAACTTGTTGGCAGCAGTGAGCTTTTTGCCAGTGATTTGCTTCTGTGTTCAGAGTATGAAACAAATCAGTGCACCTTTTCATTCCTCTAAGGAAACCAGGCTCATCAGGCTGCCTGTCTTCCCCATTTCATGATTAAATATTTGAATTCTTGCCCGTCTTGGTTCCCAAATCCTAAGTTGTTAGAAAGGCATTGTTCATTCATGGCTGACTGGCACCAAAGCCAAAACTCAGTCTACTGATGTCATTGCAACATGTCCACAAAGTAGTTAAATACATGAATATAGACGGATTCATTTTGAATGGTTTATTTTTTTTGCATTCCCATACAAGGAAATACACAATGGCCACTACTACTATATATAGTCTAATATCAGGGTGCTGTTAAAACCATATATCATATTCAAATCCATAGTATATGATAGTATCCTGCAGCTAAAGAACAGTATAATGCATAGGGTACATCCTAAATAAACAAGGCTGGTCAAAGGGTTAGCAATACATATTATGTATTCCATTAATACATACATCTGTTTATTGAATTTATCTAACTGTGTAGATGAAGTATAAACAGAGTTACAACTGCTTGCATCTTTTTTTATTCTATTACATAATGCTTACTGATTAAATTCTTATGTAAATGGAACGTAGTGTACAAAATGTGGTGGTAATGTGAGGCTGTAAAGTTTAAGGTAAAAAGTCTGTTTATATATTGATACATAGAGCTTTCTATTCTCCACCACCACTCAAAGTGCTTCAAAGTTTTGCCATTCACCCATTCATACACATTGATAAAGTGCATCTAGGTGCAACACTTGCTCTTTCAAATATCCCTCACACAGACATCAGGGGCAGTTTGGGGTTCAGTGTCTTGCCTAAGGACACGTCGGCATTCGGAATGGAGGAGCCAGTGATCAAACCACAGCCGCCCGCAAGGTGAACAATGCCTCATACTGTAATCACACTGATTACAGTATCAACGCTCAGCCTATCTGCCCTGCTTACACTGTAAACACTGTACATCTGGCTCTGCGCTCAGGCTTAAATAACTGATCACACACACTCTCACCCAAACAATAGTAACTTAATTACAGAGACACTGAGATAAAAACATTCTGCTCTTTGTACAGCAGGTGGGACTTTGTTTATTATTGTGCGGAACTGTGACATAGGAAATGATAATGTGAACGTAAACTGATATAACCAGAATGAAAATGACTCAGCCACACAGACCAGCAGCATGGTCCTTTTACATAATGGAAAAAGCACGATATTAAATCAACACACTTATAAAACATTGTGATGACGCACGCTCCATGACCCCGCTGTGGATGTGCACGTCCGTCAACTGATTTGCATTCATTATTTTATTATTTATACAGTATGAGAATGTCAAGTACAGTAATAGCTTGATTATCTTGTGTTAGTGGAAATCCCCTTTATATATTGTGTTTTTGTTTTGTTCTTTATTTTTCAGGTTCAGCTGCAGTGCTCTGTTCATTATCAAACATTAACATGAGCACATTAGCCAGTTTGATAAGGTTTAAATAGGATAGCCTTTCCATGCATTACATTTAAAAAAAATTTATAAATATATAATGCAATAAATATATTCAAAGATTTTTTTTTATTTTGTGACAACCATTTTGAAGACATTGTTTTTGAAAGGGAACACTATAATTCCTCGTAAAATGCACACATCAAGTTGTGAAATTAAGAATATTGAATATTGGGTGTATTCTGTTAGAATTAGGACTCATAATATCTCACATTGCTTTGCGATATATAAGGCATATTCACAGTGTGGCTGCTTAAGTTAATCTTTTATTTGTCTTACATGGACGTTAAAACCACTCTCATATCTCTGATTTCTTGTTATTGGAGCCATGAGCCACTGTAGGTCCAGCTCAGCACAGAGACAGTCTGTTGTGGTTAATCATGTGCTGCACTTACTCTCTGGCTCAGAGATTTCCTGTAGTCTTGTCACATGACCGATGGAGACTCAGGAATGTCACTTTACCAACAGTGATGGGATGTTTCCCACTCTCCAGCAGTTGCAGCAGCATGTACACTTCCCATCTCTTTTACTTTGGTTTTCCATTTCTGCACAAAGTCAGACGTAGTGCATGTAAATAAAACCTCAAACAGAGGCTCCTCTGATGGATTCCAGCATATTTTATGATGTGTCGGTATTGAATGTGATTCAGAACAATATTACAAAATCTTTTACTAGTGAATACTAATCTCAGTAGCATCCTCTCTTCTATGGGGTGGTGTTATCAGTTCATCCCAAATCAATTCAATAAATATAGTTATTTAACCAACTTCAACTATTATCAATGCACTCAACATTTTTTGAGTATATTTTTTATCAACACTTTACCATAATCAAGAGACGTACACACACAGTTTGAGCAATTTCAAGAGTCCTCTTGCAGGCATGAATAATAACAACACACCTTTATTTTGAAAAATTGAATGTTCTGTCTAGTTGTAGTAAATGTGTCGACACATCCAGGAAGTCGTTCAAGTCATCCTTTGTGGCTCAAGTCAAGTATATAGATATTTTACATGTCAATTCAAACCTGCTGGACACTTATTCACTTTCACTGGCATCACTGGGAGCAAAGCAAAATAAACACTTTGCAACATTTTAACCTCTGTGCAGTTTGCTGGGAAAGGTACTGAGTCATCTATTCATGCCACTCTGCTGTGCTCTGTCTACACTTTGCTTTTTCCACATTATAATAAACAGATACTTCAGAACTGTGACTTTTCTTTACTGGAACACTCATCAAGAAAATAATGGCCACCTATTATTTACGCACAAGCTTTTATTCTGCTTATACACAAAACCACTCATGGGTTTTACATGAACTGTATCATCCTTGGCACTATACACTAAACACCTAAAATGCTTAGCTAATCTAGTACTGTGAGTAGTAGTGACTCTGTATTTACAGTTCCTGCAGGTCTACAGTCCAGCATTTCACCATGGCTCATCAGGTATACCGTTTCTCTCATGAAGCGTGAGGCTCTTCCCCTCATTTTCTTTCATAACTTTGTCCGTATGTTTCCCTGACTGCTGCCGCGACTTCTGTCCGTTAGTAAAGGTCAGGCTTTTATGCACGAACAAGCGGGTGAATGGTAGTTTTCTGCGAGACTGTCCCCTGCAGCGAAGCAGGTCTCCGTAGGCCCTGCGGAAATCCCTGTTGAAGGCTGGGTACAGGATGGGGTTCAGGGCAGAATTAAAGTAGCCCAGCCACAGGATCACAGAGTGAACCGTGTTAGGAGGGTTTGTCTTTTCCTTTATGCCCATGCAGGTTAAGAAAGTGAAGTAAGGGAACCAGCATATGATGAAGGCCCCCAGTACTGCTGCCAGGGTCACTGTGGCTTTGTGCTCGTGGGCTATGGCTGCGGTCGACGCTCCGCGTGGATATGATGGCGTGGCAGCACGGATACGCCGCACCTGTAGGCATTGATGGAGAAAATGTTTTGAAATATGTGAATCATATTTTAATGTTTTCACACTTTTATGAATCACTAATATGTAATCACTGCTGCATTACTTATGTATTTATTAATTAGCTATGATCTCTCACATCCCCCCTCAGCATGTTGTACAGAATGATAATAAACACTGACCTGTTCTCGTGTCACTCTGAATATGCAAAGATACATTCCACTCATAAGCAGCAGAGGCAGGTAAAATGAGCCAAAGGAATAGATAACAACATAGTTGTTATTCCATTCAAACTGGCAGTAGCGTTCGTCTTTGTCCTCATCCCCCAAGCCCCAGTCCAAGTGCTGCACTCTGTAGTCCACCGTGTTCCAGCCCAGGTGGATGGGCACAAAGGACACGGCCAGTGACAACGCCCAGATTGCGATGAGGGCCAGCGTCACCCGTCGAGGTGTGACCCTCCGAGAGTAGCTGAGTGGAGCTGAAATGGCCAGGTATCGGTCCACGCTGATCGCCATCAGGGTCAGGATGGAGGAGGTACACAGCATGACGTCCAGAGAGAGATAGATGTTACACAGGACTCCCCCGAGGGGCCACTTCCCACCACGCAGCTCCACGGTCGCAGTCAGGGGCAGCACCAGCAGGCCCAGCAGGAGATCTGTCACCGCCAGCGACAAAATGAAGCAGTTGGCGATGCACCACAGTCTGCGGCTGAGCCCGACAGCCAAACACACCAGCACGTTCCCACTGATGGTCAGAATGATGAACGACACAAGGACAAGCCAACGGAGGGCTGTGGAGATCATGGTGCCTTCCTCCTTCTGCTCCTCCTCAGGCACCAGGCCACAGAAACAGTGCTACTGTTTGAATCCCAGTAAAAAAAACGTAAAAACTGCTTCATCCACCTATCTCCAAACTTTTTAGAAGTAGATCACTGAGTTGAAAGCACTTTCTCATCTCTTTCTGTTGCCTCTGAAGCAAATAACGTCCCTGGTGAAGAAGGAGAAGAACTATCATCATCTGAACATTTCACACTTTACCAATCATACAACATTTTATCATTCAATCAATCAATTATTCTTATAGCTCTTTCACAAATCCCAGTGAACTGCAGGTATGCTGAAACTCTTAGTTCTCATAAATCAATGTTAGAGACTTTCCTGTTTGCCACGGCCTTTCATTAAATCTAATAATTGGAACCTGGTCTGTAATAAAATGTGCACAAATGACTAATATTGCATTAAAAAAAGAATGTGAAAGAATAAATAGCTAACAGAAATAGTTTACAGTAAACAATAGCCTACAATGGCTGAGATGAGCTGCTGATGCACATGTACGGTCATAGTCACTGTACACAAGCAGAAACTATGAAAACACAATTCAATATGTAGAAGTGGAGAATACAATAATAGTACTACTTGAGAGTGCTAACAGAGTTAATAATCACGTCAGCATTCACACAGTACACATCACCTTTCACCCTCTTATGTACATACTGACATACCTCATCTAAATGCCATTAAGTTTCAATACATCCGCCCAGTTAAACAAAACAACAGCGGCATTCTTGCAGCTCATTACCATGTAGTACAAACCATCTAATCAGTTTACATGTTGAAAATAGAATGGTATTCAGTAGAGTGCATACCTTCTCCAATTAGGCACAACAGTCCCTTTAACATTTTGGGCATAGTTCTAAAACTATTGAGATAAACTGTTGATTCCACATTATCTCAGCACATTGGTTGTAGTTACAGGTTTCTTGGCCTATTTAAGACTGTGTAGCCGATGAAAAAAGAATGAGATTTTTTAAAAGAAAAAGAAAAGAAACAAAGAAAAACGCCCTACCTCGCAATGTGTGAAGAAAGTAAAAGAAAATCCTAGCTCTGCCCCTTTGTCCATCTTTCTTTGCAAATGTGTCATATTTCCACCAAGGTTTGTAGAAACCTGATGTGTAGTTTTTGTTTGATCCTGCTGACCAACCAACCAACCAACCAACCAACACATGGACAGGGGTGAAAACACACCTGATGTTCAGTGAAACCCTGGACCAGATTCATTGACATTCCCTGACTTCTCTCATGGAACAGCAGGTTATTCTTGTTTTTCATGAGGCACAGTTCATTTATATTCCATACTTCAGGGTTTTTTTCTGAAAGTTTAAAAACTACAGGTTATACATTAAATTATTCCCCTGAAGGACTTTGGCAGTAAGTTGTGTAGAGGTCCACCTATCTGTGACACTCGACCAGGATGGTCTACAACACAGAGAGAGATAGAGTATGTACTTTTAGACATAGGTTGGAGGAGAATGGTCCCTGTAAAGACAAAATAAATTACTACACTGAGAAATCAACCTCTTAAAGCATGGCTGCACTATAGTGTGCATGACTTTCAGGCCATTATACGACAAGATCTTAAAAACACACATAAAACGTTTCGTAAAAGGAGTAAAGTAAACAAAACTGAGCTCTTTAAGAAAACCCATGAATCTAAAACCAGAAAAATGTTCCCATGCATTCAACCCCGACATGTCATTTGGCCACTTTTCTATTGTTACAAGAATTGTTTCAAAGATCATGATGGATTTGAGTCTTCAGATGTCACTCAGAGCTAATCTTAAATGTAGAAGCAATTATATAAAAAAACAATATAAATAACCAGATTTGTTGTGTGAGATGCTCTTTCTAAGCCCCAGCTGACCTTACTTGCACCCAGGATATTGATAAATGCAAATTAAATAATAATCAAGTTCTCGGTTTGCACTAAATAATTCACTGATGTCATTCTATGTCTTACATGTTGCTTCTGCATCAGCTGCAAGATTTAGCCATCATCCCTCCTAAATTTTTAAAATTAAATTGAACATATTTAAATTAGGCTAAACTATTGAATGCCTTATTTCAATGAACAAGCAAAATTGATTTTTGTGATCATTATTGAGCGTCAGTAAGACTGTTTGATGGATAATACAAACTGTACTGTGTGTTTGATTTGTTTTGTTATTAATTTGCTATCTGCTTCTTTATAACAAGAAGGCCATATAGTAAATTCTTTCATTAAAGCAGCCATGACTTTTATAACTATACATAGACAATATTTTATTTAAGAGGGTGAGATAATCACCTCAACAGATTTACCCATATCATCTTTTACTAATCCTCTGTATACAACAATATATTATTATAGTGTAAATGTTGGCCTGATGTGTGTCGCAGGGCCAACATACAGAGACAAACTAGAATGGCCTTCAAGTGGATCTTTTCACCAAGGCCCTAACGTTTACTTAATCCAGGAAAATATTAAAAATGCCCTATCTATGGATCTGCCTCCTGTAATGGGTTTTTCCCTGACCTTTCCATCCACCATGTTTTTCCATAATCTGTCCAGTAGTTTTTGCGTAATCCTGATAACTACCAGACAAACATCTTGATCGGTCCAGTCAGGAGTCACAGTGAACAAGAAGCATATTGAATTTAGTTCAAAATATCATCATTAGAACTAAATACAAATATAAATTATTTGAATCCCCTGATTGTCGAATGCACATACATAGAATGTTCTCCACTCCAAGGTTTCCTTCATGTATATTCCTCATGATATTATATCTTTCAGTTTGTTTTGTTTTTATTCTAAATAAAATAATGTTGTTGTTCCTTCCTCTGAGTAACTGATGGTTAAAGGTTCCCTTTGTATGAACTGAAAACATCTTTCATTAGTACACCTCATTAGGTTTTAAATTGTTGGCCTGCAGCACAGTTCTGTCACTGCACCTTCTCCTGCTATGAGTAAACACACAGAGTGTGAGTTCTTCACACTGTGCTTCTCCTTTCCTAACTCAATCAGGTTCCAGGAAAAGAGATTTGACTTTCCGACTGCAGCGAGGGCCGAAATTTGATTTTGACACAAACCTTCTTGCTGTGGGATGACACAGCTACTACCCCCTGTACCACCAGGCCGCTCCATGGTGCCTCAATCCAGCATAAAAATAGACCTAGGTAGAGTTACACCTAAAAGAGTGGACTTGTTGAAATAACCATTTCTAAAATTAGAGGTTGGTTGAAGTATGCGTAAAAAGAAAAAACAACTTTATATTTGTTATGACAACCACAGCAAGTGCACTTCAAAACAGATTTACCGGGTTAATCTAATCCATTTCCTTGTTAATCTAAACAGTCGGCTCTAATTATGTTTCTCCACTTTCTGCAGTATTTTGTATTTCTACACACTTAATAGTTTAAGAAGTATTCCAACATTCCAACAGTCCTGCTTTTCTTATTAGTGACTGACCGAGTTGCATGTTGAACATCATGAACTATGGCTACAATGCAAAAAGGCATTAATTAATTAAGTAATGATAATAAATGTGTATATTGATTCAGTGGCTGTGTATAATGTCTTAATAGATAACAGGCAGCTCTACCCGACCATCCAGGGCGAGATTTTCAAGGTTTCGATCTTTTTAAAGATGTCAATAGATTCCCCCTCAGGGCTAAACACTTCTCATTTCCATGGCGATTTTATTCAGAGTTAAGATGGAGCCATGTCCCCAGTCATCCTGCTGCTCACAGGCTTCACACACAGGCCATAAAGAGCAAGAGACAATTTATAATATGAAGCTCTAATAGAATAAAAGCAAATGATCTTCTGCACTTTCGTTTTGCACTGTTGCTGTTGTGTGGTAACAGACGATGAAACATAACACTACAGCACCATGATGAGAACCTGAGATCATTGTATAATTAATTCAATGTTTGTTTTCCAGAGACATAAAATTATATATATATATATATATATATAAGTATAAAGCATCATTAATATAGTTCAAAAAACAACAACAGATGCATTGCCACAGACTTGAGTATCTTCACAAGACCAGAACAGATGGAAGACAGTCTCTGGGTGCGAACATAGATGGGTGTCTTAATTGTATATATGAGAAGTGCATCTACATATTTAATCTAATTCTAAGACATGTTCCTGTTGAGCTCTTGGCAATAGCAAACAAATATATCCCCAAGCATTGAGCAGCAAATTAAGTTTAGCCTGTGAGTTGGATGAGTCAACAGTATGAGATAACACTGTTGCAATACATCCGGCCCAGGAGGACAGAAGGAGGTGGCCAAGCAATGCAGATAAATTATTTAACATGAAAAGTGAAACTGCTCAGAGCAGCATATGGTAAATCCTCTGTGGCCAGTTACATGATTGGTTTACAGTGCACTTGTATCTTTGCCTTGTGCTCGTACGAAACCACACACACTAAGAATAAAGGAGAGGCCTTTATCTGAACTGAGTTTGGTAATACACAAAATTATAATATTATTTTTATATACATATAAATAAAGATAAATAAAATGAAGATTTGCTTAATGAGACAAAAACAAGAAAACCCTAACATCAAGATAAACTCCACGTCCAACATTAAAACCTGGCACCCTCCCTTTAGGTTAAAACTTATGATAAGATACAAATATACACAACAATGAAAACAAAACTACAACTTCTCTCAAACCCAAAACTATATTAATGTCCAAATAACTTTCAGAGATGCAAAATAAGGGTATACAGTATAGTGGTGCACAGTCCAGACTAACCCATCCACCTACATACCTGCTCACATTTTGTAAATGTGCACCCAAAGAAAACAACACGGGGATGAATCTCCCAGTAACGAACACACACATGCATTTCTACAATGAACATCAGCTCTTGCATGAAGCTTCATCTCAATGACTGGGACTTTTGAAATGTAGTTATGCCGGCTTAATTCTCCACATTAAAAACAAGGACGTGAACTCACCTCACATGGTTTGTGTTGAATGTGCATCAGGTCCTGACATTATTCCCACATCACTGATATCTTCCTGTGTTTCCTCAGAGCCTCCCAATGTGTGTCTGAACTTACTTCTGTCTTTCTCACGCTCTTTCTTTCTCTCCTCCTCTCCTCCCTCCTCTCATAGACATATGCAGACATACACACGTATCACTCCCTCTAGTGTACAAGCTGGGAAGCTATGGCCTAAGAGTATTCACAATTAAAACAATACTCATAACAGCATTGTTTAATATTTGTGTGATGTGTGGTCTAGGAAATAATCCAAAAAATATGTTTCCGCCTGAATAAATTAATTTGAACGCGGTCTCAAGTCAGAAAAAAAGGGAAAGTTAACAAATAGCTCTTTTCAAATGTTGCACTTTTGTCCGATGTTGTGACTACAACACGATTTGTTTACAGAACATGAACACACCAAAGTCAGGACATTTTTTTTCACTCGTACTAAATATATGGAATATGTAGACAACAAGCCACAAATAGACAGAACAGTCGATATATTTGGTGTAGATTGGTGCATGCATGGTATATATTATACCACTAGGTGGCACTGACAACACCTGGATGATTGAACACATGACTCTGAATAAGGAAGTAAAAGCGGCTCCTCTGGTGATAGCCTGTTTGCTAAGTTTCCTCTCTATCAGCTGCACAACAAGTAACAAGGAGAACTGGTCTTGTTTAAAGTCAAAGAAGCTCTTCAGGAGAGTTTGTGTCCAACAAGCAGTTTTCAGAAACAAGGTTACACAGGCAGGTTTTTGTGAGTGAGCTAAAGGCTAAGAAACTGGAGCCACATTCAGAAGCAGAATTTGCGTAGGAGCCATCTTGCTCACCTGGAATCACTTGATGTGCCTGACAACTACAACAGGTAATCACTGAGCCGCCAAGCAACAAATAGCCACAGTAGGTTCAAAATCCTACTGGAGTTCTCTGAACTGTATTTACATCCTGAGGATTTTTCCAAACTGAGGACACTCTAAAGGTTGCTTCTCTTGCAGAGACTTGTTAACTTGACCCAAACCTGAAAAACCATCTGCCAGGAGCATCACCATCATCACTACCATCTGACATCGAATGCCTTGCTCCAGCCATCGCTGTGGAGAGGTGAGTGTGGTGCATTTATTCATCTATAACATGCATGAGCATTGTCACTGTTGTTTTCGTAGCCTCTTGTATTTGATGTACAGTGAGTACATGGTTGGTGTAAGCCACAGATTGCCAAACTTTCTATCCCCAGACCCCAGCAGGTTGTACAAAGAATATTGATTTAAGCTAGTTTGCTGAAATCCAATCTACAGGAAGTTTTTCCTGTGGTGCTGTAACTTGACCTGCTGCAACTGATGTTGTAGGAATAACCCCAGGTGTCATGTGGGCACAAGGAAAATCAGAAGGCTTTAGAGAGACTTTTTGCAATTGCAGCTATTATTTAGTGTCTTGTGGCAATAGTGACCATAATATGTTATCTTGTGTTGTTTTTAAACATGTTATTCAATATCTGGAAATCATTCCTTGGTGTGTCCTAACCCTCCAGGGGTTCGTGAGGCACTGGTGAAGCTGATTCTCGGGTTGGATTTGCAAATTTACTCATCTTAGGTTGCTGATCTTCATAATATCAGATGTGTCACTCCAGCCTGTTGGTCCTCAGTTAGTTAGCTGTATCATTAGTAGCCTGCTCTGTTTGGCATTTCAGCCTGTTTCTCCTCAGCAAGGGTGGCGCGGGGGTTTGGTGGTTAGCACTGTCGCTCTAAAGTTTGTTGGAATCCCAACTTGGCTGCGGTCCTTCTGTTTTGGTTTTGCATGTTCTCCCTGTGTCTGCATGAGTTATCTGCCACTGGGGTTAATTGGAGACTCTAAATTGACTGGGTATGAATGAGAGTGTGAATGGTTGTTAGTCTCTGTATGTTGGACCTGTAATATGTTGATCACCTGTCTCAGTGAACACCCCCCCCCCTCGCCCCAATGTCAGCTGGGATTGGCTCCAGCTCCCCCTGGTGTAGATAGTGGATGGATGGATCTTAAGAAATCTGTCCCGCATTTCCCTTCACATTGCACATGATTTACTTCGACCAGATCATTTCGGGTATCACAACTTAAACATCAGCCTGCAGTACAGTATAGGACAACAGAATCATCTCTTTGATGTTGTCTACATCATGTCTACAGCCATGTCGACAGTTTATGTTTTTTTAATTCACACTTTCAGGTACTTGCCTCTGAAACTCTTCATTTCCCATACAATGGAGACAAAGGGAACTTTCTAATCCACATCAGCGTGTATTACCCACAGTACCTTCCCTAAAATGTGTGAAATATTTCTTTAATATCTCAACTATTGTGAGGATTTATAGATCATCAATTCGGTCAAGTGTCGATGTGGCCTCAGCCATTGCAGCAAAAAGCCTCTTTCCAAAATGCAGCTAAACACACCTCGCTCTCCTTGAATGAGGACGAGTTAACTATTAAATGAAGTTTTCATCATGCAGGCTAAAGAGATTAAACAATAACAGGATTAACTCGGAGGTTGTGTCACTCAGCCGCTCTAATGTTTGGAATCTTGTGGGGGAATTCATCATCCTTCAAAAGTCTCCTCAGGCAGTTCAGTGATGGGCATCTGGCTCTGAAGTCACATGCACAATAGCCACATACTTTTGTTATATCTTTCTTAAACTAAACATCTTTTAAAAAAACAACAACCTTGTTTTAAATGAATGAGTTATAAAAAGATGTCAAACAGGAAGATCAGTGTGGATGTTGATCGGAATGTTAATATCCTCAATCCAACAGGGAGCCATAAAGCAGTGTGTTTGTGGAGGAGGAAAAGGCCAGAAAATCACTGGGCCTGGTAAGAATATTTGTTCATCTAGAAATAGCATCGTGCTATATGCCCCATAAAACTGACCAGGTCAGCGAGGGTAACAGAGACAAATGACTTCTGTGGGGAGCAACATGGGCATTAATAGTATGACGTTGGAGGGAGACTATTTGCTGTTACGCTACATAAACAAACCTTCTGCAGTAATGAGGAAAATATTTTTATTTCAATCAATGATTAAAAAAGACAAAGAGAAACATCACAGCTAAAAGAACCCACACAAATATTGAAAATAAAACAAAAAATCCTATTGGATTGTTCCAATACACATATGTGGGTGTTTGTCTTAGTAATAGAAAATGTGTATTATTCAGCATGATAAAGTTAACAATGGTTTCCACAGAGGAAACTGTTGAATGTGACAATGTAATAAATCAAAACAACTCTTTTCTTCCATCTGCTGGAAATAAATTGATACTGCAGTTTGGTCCCATTCATTGAACTAGAAGTTAAGAAAAGAATCTAGTTGCTTATGAAATATTATTAAGTATTTTTTTATACAGTAACTGGAATATACAGAAACTGTACTTTAAAGCCGTATTGTAGGTGTCATTAACTTCACTATGTTTGAGATATTCAGTTTACAGACATTTATATCTTAAACTATTCGCATTTTAGGAGTTTAAATCTATAAATTTGTAATTTGTTTTGATAAATTTGCAGAGTAAGTTTTCTGTATTTTGTCTAATGGATTAATGCGTTAATCATTTGTGCTGATATTGAGAACATCCCTTTCATTCCTCTGGATTCCTGAGGAAAATATTGTACTTGTTACTTTACAAATACAGAATTTACCATCTTGGCAACATGTCTAGTAGATGTTTAGGTTTTTATCCATTGTATAAAACAATCAGGGAGGTACGTGATCAGTCCCTTATCAATTTTGCAGCATAATAATGAGTCCAAAACATACAGCAGATATATTCAGTTCGGAGTCAGTCTGGGATTATGTGGAAAGTGAGAAGACACTGAGCTGTGGTTAAGGATTTTTTCCTGTTAATTGAAAAATAAAAACTGTGGATGGCATTATATCTGACAGAATCCTCACTTCTGTACTTCCCAGTACAAGTAAAATCAAATAAAAAAAACTTCAAACGAATTTGGTTTGTAGTACTGCTATAGTGTTACATCTATATATACGACCATATTTGAAAATATGTGGCAATATGAACCCACCCAGGGCTCCTGCTTTACAGTCTACAGTTAACTCAGTTAACCTTCACAAGGACGGTGCCGTGTCTTTACTCTCTTGTCGTTGTAATGCCACATTTGTTTGTACACCACTGCTGGTGAAAAACGTGTTCATCTGTGAATGTCAGAGACCAAGCTGTGTTGGATTATTCAGGCCGTAGGAATATGCCTCCTCTCGGCCAATAACAGGAATTAAAACGAACTTCCAGCTGCGTCGTCTGCCAATCATCCTCCTTCACACGGGCGCACTAACAAGATGTGAGTGAGCCTCAAGTGATGTTTCTGACTAACAAGCTGTTCCTCGCTGTTTTCAAGGCTGCTGATCTGACCTGCTTTGTGTTTCTGCACCTCCAAACCCGCCCTGTCTCCTGTCATCAAAGCTGTTGTCTAGATCCAAATTTATAAAACCGACTGTAGCGAATGAAAAATATTTTAATGTCTATAACTTCAAACGGACATTTTCACATGAAGTTTCTAATTAAGTGGTTGAGTTATCATTTTCTGGTAATTCTTTTTCTGGTTATAAGCATAAATTTCTGTTCTAATTGAGGCAAGATTTTTAATTTAGATACAAAAACAACATGTAAAGTTCAAATTTCAATGTTTGCTTTATTGTCAATTCTGCATATGTGCATATGACATATGTAGTGTTGAAATTGCGAGACATCAAAAGTAAGAAAGGCTTTAGTTCATTAAGATTTTTTAGTTTTATAAAGAAAACCTTTTATGCAAGTTTAAATGAACACAACCTTAAATCAAATGTGCAGAGTTTTGCTTAGTGTTTTTTCCAAATGATGTTGGTATAATATCTGATCATTTATAAGTAATAACAGAATATTATGATGATGCTGAATGCTGCTTGTTTCATTTCAGCTCAGTGTGAACGTTTAATACGTTTTATGGAAAGTTTTTCTCCACGTGGAGAACAAGCGAAGGAGAAAGGTTGACAACTCGTTATGTGAAGTGTAGTGATCGACCCTAAATGTCTGAGAGTCACACAATTTGGCAACAGTGTAAAGCAGTTGTTAGTCATGGCTGGAGAAGTATCTGTCAGTCAGTAGTCCTTCCAGCACATTTTTACTAAACACAACAAATCAAACGTTGCTTGCTGCGCTTGTGTTTGGAAACTTTATGTCTTATCGACCAAGTCACAGTAATTAAAGATTGACATGGTATAACTAACTGTTGTGAATTTTACCTGTAACTGTTTCATCCCTGACCAATAGAATAGAATAGAAATATTTTAGTCTAGACCAAAAAGCTGATCTGGCCAAGAGGCACACCAACAGGCCACCGAACAGAAGAATAAATAAAAAAAACTTTAAAATAACAACTACTTTGATGAAATAATGCATTTGCTGTAGGTTTAGTCTTGTTTTCATTAAATGTTTGCATTGTACCTTTAAGATCCGGGGAAAATAGGGTTGAAATCACGATGGAGTGGGAGCATGCGGTAAATTCAATCCACACATCAATAATCTGCACAGTTTATTTCTTTAATGGTGTTAAATTTCATATTTTCACATTGTTGAAGTACATTGTACACCATTAGCTTGCCTTCTGTGTATTTGAACAGTATGTGTGTGGTGCCACTGCCTGTCAAGATCCTTGTCTGCCAAATGAATTGCCCACCTTGGGGCAGTAAAGGAACTGATGACCAGATATGGGATGGTTTACTTCACATTATTCAAAGTTTCCAGGAAGTTGCATGATCCTAACATTGTTTGTCTCTTAAGGAGAACAAGGTTATCTCCTGTCCAGTGGAGGTGCGAAATCAATGCTTCGTCATTCTTATCAAAATAGTCCCAAACCGTGTTGAACATGACGGAGTGAAGTCGGGGACCAGAATAGACGTAGGAGTGGAAGTTGCTGTGTGTTTTACGCAGGATTATTAAGTCAAATTACCCCACGTCAAGGCCATATGAAAGCCAGAGGCAATCCCCTGCTCCCTTGTGTGGAAATGCAGTCAGCGCTCTCGCCTTCCTCTTCCACCGTGCTCTGTCATATTCCATCTAAATCCCAGGGGAAGCCAATCTCTCCC